TAAACCTCCAACTAATTCCCTCAGGATTGATCATTTTGTGCGTCCTTTTACTCTAAAAGCTGTGCATGAGCTTCTGGGCAAAACTGGAACTTTCACCAGTTTCTGGATGGACCATATCAAGACCCATTGCTATGTTACTGTAAGATTTTTAATTCTCTCGCAGTACAAGATATGAATCCTCTCTTTTATGTACATTTTTCTCTGTGGGTTCAGATGGATTTAATAAATCTTTTCAACTATTTGGAAAACTTCTTTGATGATGCAGTATACATCAGTTGATGAAGCCATGGAGACACGTAAGGCTTTGTATAACATACAATGGCCTCCAAATAATGGTGGACGCCTGCTGGTGGCTGAGTTTGTGGATCCCCAGGAAGTGAAAATGCGAGCAGAAGCTCCTCCTCAGTCGCCAGCTGCACCCACCCCTCCCGCTCCAGCTCCACCTGCCTCGCAGCCCCAGCCCTCACCCCGTCAACCAGCTCCCAGACAGCAGCTCCCACCACCGCCAACTCTTCCACCACCACCACCACCCGTATCCAACCCAGCCCCAGCTAGAGAACGCTTCACTCTTCCACCCCCTCCCCCACTCCCAGAAAAAATTGACCCACCAATCGTGACTCTGGATGACCTATTTCGCAAAACCAAAGCGACTCCTCGCATCTACTACTTGCCTCTATCAGAAGAACAAGTTGCGGCAAAAGTTCAATCGCGGAGTAAAAACACCAAGCAGTAGGGATCAAGCTATAATTTACCCCTGGCTGTTCCCGTATGTTAGATAATGGTAAGAAAGTATCACATAATATCGTCTTTGCAGGTCTGCAGGTGTTACTACTACATGTAGGAAGGAATTGTTCCAGCCAAGCTTGGGGATCTTGTTCGTTGATGGATTTCGATTTGGGTTTTCCGAAGGCTGTGCCTGCCTGAGGCTTATGTTTTATTTAGTGTTAGAAACCTCCTCCCCCTACAAAGCTGAGAGCTTCTGTGGTGTCGTGTGTCTTGTTTTTCTGTTGAACCAGAATTCCAAGTTTTATGAACTTCTTGTGATGTTGTTAGATCATATTTCTAACTTTTGGATGATATTTTCTTTCCCGTTCAAGTTTGGTCTTCATTGTAGATTCTGCAACAACTTTGATTAACCAGTGTACTGGCTTTTTGAACTGCTATTGAAAATTTGCCTAATCTTCTGCTTAATTTTTAGTTCATTGAATTTTCATTGTTTCGATTCATAACACCATTTCAAGTCAGGAATATTTGCGGCAGTTCTTCATCCAAATGCCAAAGTTTTCTTTTGATTACTGAGGCCTCTATTAACAGTTATTTAGTATCGGATCATATTCATCAGAATATCGTTTAGATTTTCTTTTAATTATTGTTTTTATGATTTAGAAATCTCGACTTTCCTTTGTAAACTTGAATTAGAACTTGTCCTTTTCGGAAGTGGAAAACAACGGACTATGATCTTAAAGGTACTCGTGAGAGAATCTCTGTTTTAAAAGCCAGACCGGATCGAACCGGCCCTCTAACTGGTTTGATTGGGACCCGGTTGTGTGTCTGGTCCGAGCTAATATAAAACTTGTTGTCATTTAAAAACCGTTTTAACTTGTTATCAAACCGGATAAACAGTGCGACCCGTCTGGTCGAACCGGACCAGTTGGTGAAATGGGTCAATGTTTAAAATGAAAAAACACTAGATCTGATTTATTTTTCACGCGACTCCACTTCTCCCCTCTCTTCAATCTCTCAACTCTCCAAAATCACAACTCCCTTCTCAAATAATTGCACTCAGTCTCAATTCAATCTCTCAACTCCACTCTCCCTTGGACCTTTGCTCAACGATGGCAGCACCTCATTCGCTGGATTTTGACGATAATGCACTCCCTTTCTCCCTTGCTCGATGACGGCAAGACCTCCCTCGCTGGATTTCGGTAACGACGCACCTCCCTTCTCCCTTGCTTGACGACGGCAACACCTCCCTCTCTGGATTTCGGCAGCGATGCACCTCCCTTCTCCCTTGCTCGACGAAGGCAGCATCTCACTCGTTGGATTTCGGCGACGATGCACCTCCCTTCTCCCTTGCACGATGACAACGGACGACGATGCCTCCCTCCTTTGCTGGAATCGACGACGACAACACTTCTCCTGCTCAAAATCGACGAAGACGACAACACTCTCTTTTGTAAAGATATTTCCACTTTTTTTTTTTTTTTTTTTTTTTTTTTAATGAATCTATTGCTTTCATGCTTTGATGGATAATTTGTTCACTAAATTCGTATGTAAAAAATACTTTGCGGTTTTGTTATTAATTATTATGTATTTTATTATTTAATTTGTAATGGATGATGTTTGGAGACTTTGGATTGTAGTTAAACTAAGATTGTTATTGAGTCTGAATTGGGTAGAAATTAATTTGGTATTCTGAAATTTTCAAAAAAAAAAAAAAAAAAGATATTTTGTTTTGGTTGTGCTAACATCACTGGTCCAACCAGCCGGTCTAACCGGTTGGACCGGTTGACCCATGACCCGGGCAGTGAAGCGGGTTGTCCTCCGATCCGGGTTTTAAAACAATGGAGAGAATTACAGGGTCGTTTTTGTTTTATTATTTCAAACCCTATTTCTTATTCTATTCCCAAAATACCTGTTTGTTTAATTATTTGAGAAATACTATTCTATTTATTTTAATTATTTTAGACCTCTTAAGTTTATTTACTTAATCAAACACCCTCAGAAAAAAAAGTTTGAAAATTAACAAAAACAACCTCACCCACCTATAGTTGCCAGATTTCGGCAGCCACCGTCGGTGGTGGCCAGAATCTGTCACAACGGCCTAAAAATGACCGGAATTGGCTGTTTATTCACCGATCTAGCCTTTTTAGCCAGATCCATGGTGGATTGGGCCGGAAAAGGCCATATCTGGCTGTTGTTGACCGTCAATGACGGCCATATCATTGGTCGTCTCTGATAGCTAGATCTGGTCTTTTGTGGCCAAATCTACCAGATCTGGCCGTCGTTGACCGTCAATGATAGCCATATCATTAGCTATCTCTGACAGCTAGATCTGGCCTTTTGCGGCCGTCGACGACCAGATCTGGCCGTAGATTTGGCCAGAAAAGACTAGATCGACACACCACTGGCTAGATCCGATTGGTTTTTTGTCGTAACGGTAGATTCTGACCAGATTCCGGTGTTGGTGGCTAGAATCTGGCACTGTGGTGGGTGGGGGTGTTTTTGTTATTTTACAAAATTTTTATATATTTGGGTGTTTAGTTAAATTAGCAAACCTAGGGGGTTTTTTTTGGTTCATTTTTAAATTTTACCTCGTAATACTCACCCTATTCAACTACCCAATATTATTCCTAAAATCCTATCCAAAATAACAAAACAAACGCACCCATAGGTATTTATGAGAACTCAAATCCTGAACAAATTGGTATAACTAATAAAACTTACTTGAAGCACAAAGTGCTCGCGAGAGATCCTGAACCCTAGAAGAACCTTGAATCCTTACCACTTAGTTTGTGGTTGGAAGGTAAGACCTTAGATTATTTAAAAGTTTTGTGTTTAAAACCTATTAAATGGTCATTTATCACAATGACTTATCTGATCCATTGAACTTGTAGGATGGCTTATCTGACCTATTCGGCTTGTAGAGTGTTTAGAGATTAGTTGAGGTGTACGAAAACTGGTTTAGACACTTTGATTTAAAAAAAAAAAATCTCTTAACCCTAGATGTAGTGGGTACATAACTCAAATCTTAAATATTGTGGGAAGGTTATTTAGAAGTCTTGTGTTCAAGACCTATCAAGTGATCATATATCACAATGATTTATCTTACCCATTGGACTTGTAGGGTGACTTATCTTATCCATTACGCTTACAAAGTGTTTAATAGACTTTGAAATTAGTTAATATACACGTAAGCTAGTCCAAAAAATAAAAAAAATATAAAAATAAAAAAACCTCTTAACCTTAGGGGGCATTTGGTTGAGGGTTATATAGGATTACTGAGGTTATGTCATCTTATATTACTTGATTACCACGTTTGACTGTCAAATAATATAAGATTCTGATGATCTTTCAATACCAATAGTAGTTATTGTTGGTAATATTGGAGGTAATCAAATAATCTATATTTTCTTAGGTATTGTAAGATTACTTGGTTATCTTATTTTTGTTACAATTTTATCCATTATTAATAAAATTTTTGGATAATAATGTCCTTGTTTTAAAATCAATTTACATGAACATAGCTTTTACAATTTTACCCCAATTAATTAACTTTTTGGACAAAATTACTCTTGAACTCAAAACAAATTGTAGCCCACCCAAGCCACCACCCCCACCCACTTGCTGCTGCCAACCGTCGTTGCCAGAACGACGCACAGAAGGTTGAAAATGGCCTCTGTGAGCCGATATGGCCATTTTTGGCTAGAGATCTAGCCAAAAATGGCCACATCGGTGATCTCTGGCCAGAAATGGCCATATCGGCGCACAGAGTCCATTTCTGGCCTTCCGTGCGCCATTAGGTTGCCAGCTACTGGTGGCAGGTGACCAACAGTGGCTGGGTTGGTGGAGGTGTATTATTGATTTTTCAAACTTTTATTATGGGGTTGTTTTGCTAAGTTTTTAAATTTAGGAGGGTTATATACATAGTTATATGTAATTAGAAAATAATTCAGTAATTTAAGTAATATACTTACCAATCTATTTCTCCCAACCAAACATAGTAATATAACATACCCACTAATTTATTCCAACTAATTAAACACATTTCTTTAAATATTTCTAGTAATCTTAAAGTTATATTTTTTTTATTAATATAACATTCCCAATAATATAATATTTATTATTAAAGGGACCTCATATATATTAGGTACGTAAGGCGAATCCTAGATAATGTGTGAGACTGGTAGCAAAAGTAATTTTTATCATAAATAATAATATTTAGTCATATAATAAATAATACAAAGAAAACGTGAATAGCACGTGCACCTGAAAAACCTATAAAATGTTCTGCCTCTTCAAGAATTAGGGTTTCTGCCTCTTCAAAAACCCTAATTTCCGTAAAGATAATTTTTTTGTCGACAAACAAATAAAGCAATCTAAACCCATCTCCATAACAACTTGCCCTCTCATTTTCCAGGAAACAATCAGAAAAAAAAAAAAAAAATGGTTTCCAGCAAGAAAACAGTAAGAGCAATACTTAGATTTCTTTCTATGTAATCCCCAAATCAACTCTTTAACCATCAATTTTTCTTCTGGTTTTCGTTGTTTTTGCAGAAGAAGACTCATGAGAGCATCAACAACAGGCTGGCTCTTGTTATGAAGAGTGGGAAGTACACGCTTGGCTACAAAACGGTTCTTAGATCTCTTAGAAGCTCAAAAGGTTTGATTTTTGTTGTGTTTTATAGTTTCTGGAAGTAAAAGTTTTGATTCTTTTGTCATGAGATTTGAATTTTTGATGTGGGATTTTTCGTTTTGTAAATTTTGGTGCAGGGAAATTGATTATTTTGTCTAATAATTGCCCTCCTCTGAGAAAATCTGAGATTGAGTACTATGCCATGCTTGCGAAAGTTGGTGTCCACCATTACAATGGAAGTGAGTATTTTTGTTGTTTTTGTTTTGTTAAATTTTGAATTGGATGTGAATTTTGAACAAACAAAAAATTTTATGAATTATTGCTCTGAACTCTGACTCAATAATAATTGGTGAAGGTTATTTTATTCTTAAGTCATATTGAGATTTCTGGTGGCATGATAGATGTGTATATGTGTACGAATGCGGTTGTTGCTACGGCGATTTCTTCTTTTTTTAGCTGTTTGTGTGTGAGGAGTAGTTTTGAGGGGAGATGTATAAGAACATGATGATCCCTTGTTGGTGTCCATCTTTGCGGTTTTAGACTTCATTTCCTATACTTAGTGTATATGAGAGTTTGTGACTTTTATATATTTAGCTTACCGACCATGGTAGGAAGGATCTGTTATTGGACTTACAGTTCAGTTGAATTTCATGGTCATGGTATGGGTCCATGATTCGATTGTGGTGGCTTTTTTGTTGGTTGTTGTGTTATCGGCATTTTTTTACCAGAAATTTGTCTGCCCCCATTTTTGACTTGAAAATGTTTGGTTGATATTAGATTTCCCACTTAACAGTTTTAATTAACCACATTCTTGCTGATGATTTCACCAGACAATGTCGACTTGGGAACAGCTTGTGGCAAGTACTTCCGAGTGTCTTGCTTGAGCATTGTCGATCCAGGTATTATCTATATAACACAAACACAATTCGTTACGTATCTTTTGTTGTAGTATGCACCCAAAGAAATTTAACGCACCTCACTTAATCTTTCTCTGCAGGTGATTCTGATATCATCAAGACTCTACCGGGTGATCACTGAGCAGATTTCTCTTCAGTGCATATGGCATTTGATACCGAACGCCGTTTATTTCCTCTTTTTCACTTCAGTGCATATGGCGTTTTATAGCGGGATGACGTTTGTTTCCTATATTTCGATTATATTTTTCCCTTTTGAATGTCGTATAGGCATTTTGGATGTTCATGCTGAATGTTATCTGCTTATATAATCTAAAATTTTGTTTAGCAAATCTGCTTCTGAAGCTCAGGTTTTGTTATGCTAAACAAAAATTATAGGCAACACATATTTCATTGTCATTACAGTAATACTCCTATGGCTTAAGGGCGATTTGGCATTGATATCAGTAACTAACGATGTTACTCTTTTTAACGTTAATCTCGGATATGAGATTTGGCGGTGGCAGTGTTAGTTTTATCAAAGTCTTTGATCGTAAATTTTTTAAATTTATGTCAAGTATCTCACGGTTTCAGAAACTAAGTAAACCCTTCTTTAACAATGTTTGATTTATCGAAGTCTTATATCATAAAACATTGTATTGATTAGCTTACGAGGGATTTATAAAGTAGCAAATTTACCCCTTAGAAATAGGGATGGGCATAATACTTGTCCCTATTGGGACTTGTCCCGACCTGCCTCGAACAAGGCAAAATTTCCCCTAATCGTTCGAGATTTGGGTGGGGCTTGAGTCGAAAACTGGTCCTTGAATTTAAGGACGGGATTGGTCTTGTCCAGACTCGTCCCCACATATATATAGTAAAACATCTTTATAATCATAGGTGCGTTTGGTTCATTATTTTGGATAGAATTTTGAGAATAATATTGAATAGTTGAATAGAGGAGTATTACGAGGTAAAATTTAAAAATTTATAAAAAAACCTTTAGGTTTACTAATTTAATTAAACACCCTAACATATAAAATGACAAAAATACCCCTACCACCTGCAATGCCAGATTTCGGCCACCATCGTCGGAATCTGGTTGGAAAATCGCGTTACGACACAGACCGGTCACGCGTCCGGTCTGTGTCGTAACGCGTCATTATAGTCTTTTCTGGCCAAATCCACCACAGATCTGGTCGGAAAAGGCCAGATCTACGGCCTACTATGGCAATCGACAGCCGGAAAAGGCCAAAACGATGGCCAAAGATATGGCTGTCGTTTTCGGTCAATGACGGCCATTTCTTTGACCGTCAGATCGGTGAATTACCGGCCAGTTCTAGTCGGTAATTCATCGTTGTGGCAGATTCTGGCTAACACCAACGGTGGTTGCCGGAATCTGCCAAGTATGGGTCACGGGGGTGTTTTTGTTATTTTTTAAACTTTTTAAGGGGGTATTTAATGAAATTAATAACTTTTGAGGTCTAAAAGTAATTACAAAAAAAATTGGGTAATATTTCTTGAATAATGTGCCAAAGATTATTTGGAGAATAAGATTGAGAATATGGGTAAGAATAATGAACCAAACACGGCCCATATGTTGGAACCAATTAAATTTATTACTATAAGGAAGTTATAATTTAATAGACGTGTAGTTACAAAGATTATTATTTTAATTTTTGATTTTATAGTTCATGTTTTAGTAGTATTAGGATTTCAATTCATTGTTTTAGTAGCATTAGGATAATACGAAAATAGATATAAAAAAGTCATTGAAAAATTGAGCGATTGGATTTGACAACTTCACTACACTAATCAAATGGATATTAATTTCTTTCTCAATAGTCCAAATGAGTAACAAATCGTGTATGTTTTAACTGAAAAAAAAAAAAATCATTACTAGAATTAGACAAGAAGAGGAAGGAGATAATATTAAGGATGATAGTACAAAAATACCAAAAATTTCATGCCAAGAAGCTTTAAACATGCTTGAAAGCTAAAAATATTTTGGCTTCAATAAGAAGGTGCTAATGCTGATGGCTTATTACGTATCCATAAGATAAAAGATATGATAGCAACTCTAAAGCATAAATCATTGTCTTAAACAACTTTAAATAAATATTTTATTTTATTTTAAGCCTTTAATGTAACATAATTTGTATCTTTTATAATATGCATATAATTATTATTATGTAGGGGCAAGTTCTTTAAGACAAGACCTAGAAAAATTACAACTTATTATAATGTGAAATTTACTCTAAAACATCATTGTTTCAAACAACTTTAAATAAATATTTTATTTCATCTTAAACTTTTAATGTAACATAACATATATTTTTTGTAATATCCATATAATTATTACTATGTAGAGGTAAGTTCCTTAAAATGGGACCTAGAAAAATTACAACTTATTATAATGTAAAATTTATTCTTATTTATAACTGGCTTAAGTTAGGACCAGAAGTTTTTATAACTACATGAAGGTTATTCATATATAGAGTATTACTATAGAAAGAATCATATATATATATATATAATTTTAACCATTTAATAGTTGAAAATCAATTAATGAAGCTATAAATTATAATTGTTTGAATATTTTATGAAACTATATATAAACAGGTAATAAATAAAACTATATTAAATATAATAAATCATTATAAATATTTGTAATACATAATAAATATGTTATATATGTATAATGTATCATTTGATATACATAATTTATATGTTATTTATGTATAATGTATCTTTTGATATTTTGATTCATTATAATAAATCAATAAATCATTATAATTTTTTTTTTTTTTTTTGTCCCTCACTGAATCCTTATTTCAATTCCATTACCTAATTGCCCTTGTTATATTGTGGAAATTATTTATTTAGAATTGATTATAATATATATGTATAATATATCATATGTAATACATTATGTATAATGTTATATATTATTTAGAATATTAATGAGACATTGTAATATAAATGGTATAATTTATTTAGAATTTATTATAATATATTATATATTATACATTATATATAATATATATAAAATAAAAATTATACATTATACATGATACGGTATTATCCATAATTATAATATTATATATTCATTGTTAATACTTATTACTTAATACAATAATACATAATATTATACCATTAATATATAATATATTTACATATATGTATAATGTATTATAATTATAATTTTGATATTTTGATTCATTATAATTTTTTTAAATCATTAAATTTTTTTAAAAATTATAATGTAAAACCCCAAACAGGGATTTCGGGGATTCCCTGAATTCCCCGTTTGGGGATCGGACCTAATTGGGGACTCTCCGTTTGGGCTACGGGCCAGGGAATAGCCTTGAGCTTTCAGGCCGAGGCCAGAGAGGGGTCCCCGACCCCGACGTGGCCTGTGCCCATCCCTACTTAGAAATGATTATTTAACTTTAATATTGGACTTTGAATACAAGGGTGACATTGTTAGTTTATCAGAATTTTGGATCACATATGATATCAACCAAATTTTGTATTGTAGACATTTGTTATCATTTATTATAATTATGCAATAATACTAAGTTATCTAATAACAAAAAAATAAAATTACAAAGAAGCCCCACTATTTATCTTTCATGATTTTGAAGCCCATTTGTTTTCACATATGCAATGTAGGAATAGAAATAAATTGAGGGACAAATATAATTATTTTTTTATGTTTAGATTATTAATTATGAAATTGGAGACAACTAAAATTATAAGCTAAACAAAGACGAACAAATGAGAGTATCCCCGAAGATGAGTAAAAATTTGAGTTCAATGATAACAAGTGAGAGTATCTTCGATATCTTTTTCTTTGAATAAAACATCAATTCCAGCAACGATTTTATTAGATATCTTATAATTAGAATTCCTCATTTTCCAAGCCAGTTCCTTCGCCATTGCGAATCCTAGTTAGATTCAGGCATGATACACTTTTTATTTATTGGGAAAACTCAAGTACTCTCTTTCGAATCCAGTTAAAAACTTTTAGAGATCTTTTTTCCTTTTAGAAGATACAAGAGTGAAATAATCATAATATTGATATTGGAATACCCAAAAGATTTTTGCATTGTATCATTTCTAGGTCAAATGGAATTCATAGGTATAGGAAGGAGCTCAGTCAAATAAAGATGTTTTCTTTCCGCCATATTTCAATTGTGAATATGATATATAAGAATCACTATTACAAATAATATCATACCCTTGATCGTGAAATATCGATTGCTTGTTGAACCTTGTGAATTGCGTGTTGAGCTCAATGAATAATAGTAAAAATCTAAGCTTAGTAATAACCAATGATAGTATTTAAGCTCAATAGATAATAGTAACGAACGAGAGTATTTAGATGGGAGTAAAACCCTGAGTTCAACGAACAATTATAAGTTTAGCTATAAATAAAATCATTTTTTTTTTTTTTTATGTTTAGATTATTAATTATGATATTGGAGGCCACTAAAAACTGTATGTTAAAATAATATATTTATGTATATTGGTTATATGATTGATTATAATCACTATACATTTTGTTGTTGTTATATATATATATATATATAAAATTTATATGTAAAAAGAAATTTTGCAGTGAAAAGGCATTTCAGCCTTTTCACTGTCAAAATCAATCTACTATTAGTCTATTACGTCTGCCAAACGGGTCAATGATGAAACGCAGCGTTTCGTATCCCGAACACGTAACTTAACCGGGTCGCAAAAACATTCTCCGCACCGATTAGTTTCACGTAGATCAACCAATAAAAATTGGCCGCGTGGGACCTCAACGGTTTTATTTATATTATCGTTTTTTTTTTTAATTTCTTTCTTAATTTTCATTTCATTCCCAGTGATATTTCTTTTTCTCTCTTCTTTCCCGAGAAACAAACAGAACTTTTAGTAATCGATTCTCGCTTGTTCGTTTCTTGATTTCTTCGTCTTCAACGCATTGGATTCAGGTCCTTGTAGATCGAATCGTGTTCGTTCACTTTTTTTTTGTCAGATTCAGCGAGGTAAATGTTTCAGATCTTTAGTTAAGTGAAAGTGAAGTTTCGAGCTCGTTTCATTTTATTTGTTTGTATTCCTAACGATTGATTGATTTGTTTTTCTTTTTAATTTGTCTGTGCAGTGAAGTCGACGAGTCTCTGAAACATCGACAATGGTTTCGTTTGAAATGAATGACCGTAAAAGTGAGTTAACAGTGATCTTCTGGTGTTATTCTTGTTTTTCATTATGTTTTTGATCGTGAATTTTTGTTGTAATTGTGAAAGCCAAGAAATTTGTATATGAATATTTGATTTGAATAAGTTAATCAGTTTAAAGATGTTAGTTAGGGTTTTTGCTATTGCTTGAGCTGGATTTTAATTAGTTGCTGGTGTTACGGAGCTTTGTTGAAGAAATGTTTATTAGAAAAATCTATCATAAATATTTGATACCAGTTGAGGTGCTGTTCATCAGTTAAATTTTTTAGTAGTTTTTATTTTATTTGTTTGCAAGATTTGCTTTCTTCTAATTGATGGTTTGCTAGTTAAGAACTTTTTGGAATTTCAAATGGTCCATAGTTATGGCAAAGTTATCATCTCATAAATTTCATTTATTACTTACTAGCTTAAGACAGAAATATTGGATGATTAAGGAGCATTTGTTATATTCTAGATATCTTTGACTTGAACGTGGAGAATTTTGCTGAAATTTAGAGCTCGAATATTTAGCTCGCGTGCACGTGTGGACTGTGAAAAAAATTCTTGCAAAATATGGAACTATATGTTTGATGTTTCTGATTAAGAGGGGCAAAAAGAAGCAATTATATGTGAATTTGGGATGGTGATTGATGTCCTTTTTGTTTGAAAGATTTTACAACTAATGATTGTTAATGTAAAATGGAACAGAGATTGGGCTTGGGTTGACAGGATTTGGAATATTTTTCACATTCTTGGGCATCATCTTTTTCTTCGATAAGGGATTGCTGGCCATGGGAAATGTAAGTCTTGTTAGATTTTTTTTTTTTTTTTTGGTTTTTTATTATTCTTATTATGTTTTGGCTTATTTACTGAATGATATTTGATTAACACTGGCATTCTGTTGTGGCCTTTAGATTCTCTTCTTCTCAGGGGTGTCTCTATCCATTGGTTTGAAGTCCACTATGCAGTTTTTCATGAAACGTCAAAACTTTAAGGTTCTGATTTTCTTACTCTCTCCCCCTTTGTTTCTCAAGTTGTGGAGTGTTTTGTTCATGTATTGTCATCCATCTTTGTCATTCTTTAAATTTCTTGTGCTTTTGTTGATCGTACAGGGAACCATCTCTTTTGGTCTGGGCTTCTTCTTTGTTGTTATTGGTTGGCCAATTTTTGGAATGATTCTTGAGACATATGGGTTCATTGTGCTTTTCAGGTATAGTAGAATCTTTCATGCTTTTATTTTTATTCATTTATTGTACATAATTCAAGTTGCTAATGGTATTTTTATATGCAGTGGTTTCTGGCCAACACTTGCTGTTTTCATTCAGAGGATACCTTTTCTTGGTTGGATATTCCAGCTACCATTTGTCAGATCGGTATGTTTATTCTTGGACTCAAATTATTCTCTGTCAACTGTGAGATTTCTTGTAAGAGATTGCAAGTAGACTTGTGAATATATGTAATTCATTTTTTCTTTGAATTGTATTACATTTGGGTTCATTGATTCTCTCTGAAATGCTAAACCTACTTTGTTTGAATATTATTTTTGTTGAACTATATATTATTTTTTATTTGGAGTTGTGAGAGAAGGAAACTTTGAAGAGTGATATGGAAAACAAAAGATTTCTTAATCTTGGCTTTCAGATATACTCATCATTTTTTTTTTCTCTTATAAATCATTCGATTTTATTGAGTTGTCAATGTTGGCTTCATGTTCGTAAATATAAGTGGTGCAAAGTGTATCGTTGCTTTTATTTATTTTTTAATTTTAGCGATTCCATGTTCTTAATAGCAGTTAAGGAAATCCTACTCATAGAAAATAAGGAAATAGATTTTTGATTATAAGTGGTGAATACTTTGTTTCTTTTTTTTTTTTTTTGGGGTATTTTGGGTTGTCTATGCCATTCACACAGCACTCAAGAGAATCAAATCGTTATGTGATATTTTTATTTCATGATAAGTTGGAGCATGTCATATGTCTTAGTTTATGCTATAGATTCAAGGATGAGAGTCATGTCTTGACACAGACATGGGATATCATATCCTAAAAAGCTGAACATTTGATATGCACGCGTATTTCTGCATTTATAGTAGTAATCATGATTATTAGACTCTGATTTTCTGTTTGTCTTCTTTTAGATAATTATTAAGCTTGTAGTGTGGGAACTCCATAACAAAGTTTGCATAGTACTCTCAAATTCTTAGCATAAGGAAAGAGTTGATGGTAATTAGTGATGCACTCTGTTTCTCTGCACATAGCCTAACTGTGGAGGTAGAACACTCAGAATTTCATATCTAGGTGGATTTCTCACTGTGGGACGTGACATGAGACAATAATACCTATGAATAGGCACATATCTGAATTTTGAGTGACACAGGATTGTATAGATGTTGGCAAACATACAGTTAACATAAGTTTTGGTCTGAATGTGTCCCCTTCATGAACCCAAGATGAGTTTGTTTGATCGATTTGTTACGTTGACTGAGCAGTGGAGAAGTGTTTGGTCACTTGTATGCATTTGAATGCCTCTACTGTTTTATGGAAAACATGTCTTTCAGAAATGGATTATTTTGCTTTAAAAATGTGGCTTAAGAATCCGTTATATTATGCCTTTTAAACTTGAGTCATCTTTATGAAACTTTGTGGAGGCTCAGAAACTTTATAGAAATGAAATTGTTTTGCTTGAATACTGAAAGTTAAAAAACAAGGCATGATTTCATTGTATGATCACTTAGACCGATATGCAGGTACATTTATGATGTCTGAATGTCTCTCTACTTGATATAATGTAATAAGCGAGCTTGTTTCTTTAATGTGCAGTTATTCGACAAGTATCGGGGGAAACGGGTGCCTGTATGACCTTGCTATGGAAAAATGAGGAAGTACAATGTAGTGACAGCTGACAGGTCCACTTGTAAAATACTTTGGATGAAAGACGAAAAATTCTTTGGTTTAATTCACATGGTGACTTTAGAAAATGAATCTCATTTGACAGTTAACCGAATCTCTTACTTGAAGAAAGAAAACGAAAACGATTTCATCATTCATCGTTTTAACGATTTCATCATTCATCGTTTTCTTTAATACTCTATCGTTGTTTTTATTTTAGCGCCATTGCTGAAATTGAATATAAGTTTTGTTTGTTGTCAAATGTTCGTCAATCCGTTCATGCCAGTACTAGTGTCACGACCCGATTGTTTCCCTTCGGACTTGTGTGGCCTTAGAATGTTGTGGTGACGCACACTAAATGTTTGATGAATGTAGACCTAGACTTGATTTTCGTTTGCAGGAGTCAACTCTTGTTAGAGAGAGAGTTTATCGGTACATATACTGGGATTAATATCTGTTGATGCTGGATTTTGCACCAACTAAACGCACGTGCAAAATGGTGCAGGGGGCCTCGAAATCACATGTAAAAATAATGGATGAGGGATAGTAAATGTAATAAAGACAATTTTTAAAGTGGTTCGGATGCTAAGGTAGTAAGTCTTACGTCCACTGATGCTTATATTGATGATATGAGTCATGTCGCTATTAGCTGACTGACTTTACAATGATATTACAAGGTATCGATTCCTGAGAAAAGAGAGAGAGAGTAATTAATTGAGTGAAAAAGGTGCCAATCCCTTTAATGAGAGATGAATTCCTAATTTATAGTCAAATGCCTTGAGACAATCATCACTAAATCTGCGAGTTTGTGGGATTATCCGTGCAAATCCTTCTTTATGTCACATTGCCCACCTTCCAGAGTGATTTGCGCGATTTAGAGCTGGGATTGGACACGTGGGAGCACCACAGCCTCTTGACTAGCCTGATGCGCGCCCACTACCCTGACAGACACAGACGGTGTCTGTTCCAATGATCCGACTTTTGCGGGCTAAAGGGTCCTGACGTCAGCCCTTATATTTTTAGGCATAACAGAAGCCCCCTAGTTTTTAAGGTTTGAGGATTGAACCTTAGAAACTACAGGTCGTGCCGTGGTTAGATGATTTCTGAAAACTTTGATCTATTCGAAAATAGGTCGGAGCGGCATTTGCACAAGTGCGACCTCGCATGCCTAAGGACGAGCGACCTGGTTTTGCCTGATGTCACCCGTTTATTTTGGTAACAAGAAGACATTTAATGAAGCCATCCCTGCGCTGACAGGTGTACCCTTTGCGTGGTGAATGCCAACCAATCACATTTAATGCCTTGCATGCTGAAACAGTGCGCTTTATCAGGGCATTAAATGCAATATGCGTTGGAACGGTGCACCTTACCAGAGCATTAAATGAATATTTGAAACGCAATTAATGCTCAGAGAGAGATATGGCTGTCGTTTAAGCTTTTCAACTGGAAGGGTGTAAGTTTGACGTCATCCAGTCGTATCGCTCACTCTTCCTCGCTGATGAGTGACACATGGCCAAGATCAATGGTAAGAAACCTTTACCGCTCGAACGTCGTTTCAATTCCGAGAAATCCAAACGCCGATCCACGCGCTATAAAACCCACAAATCGTTCTGAGGCAATGTTACCAAAGCCTTTTTCACAGAGAACAAAAGATTTTCATAGGCTAAGAACCTTTGTCTTCCAGACTTGCATTTTTCCGGCATCTGAAGCAGACACCGTCATCGTATTTCGAGAGGTAAGAGTTTTCTGGCCATCATCTCATTTTCCATGAGTTAATGGCGTCGGTCCTCCGGTAACCCATCGGAACTAGTCGTCTGTGTCGGGTTCGAGCCGCGAACGGCGACTCAAACCATGTTGCTAGGGTTTTTATTTAGGATTTAAGGGAACGTATTTCCTCCCATGTCATCGTACAATATAACGTACGGAGACTGAATAATCCTTCTGCTTGTCGCTTTTGCAGACTGACAAAATGGACCACTCAGATACCAGACCTGAGCAGGGAACCAGCTCGTCCTCGCATGGTGCTCCTAGCATCCCTCTTGAGGTTTTCTCGGTACTCACCGAGGAAGAACTTAAGAAGGTAATAATCCAATTCGGCATCGAAGTGGACGTATTCCACGACCTAACGCACTTGTCGCGATACCCCTCAAAAGGCTTGGCTGTGATCTCCGAGGAGATTATCAAGGGTGGAGGACTTATCCCCCTGCACCCTTTCATCAGGTCGTTCTTGGACCACTTTGGGGTCGTGCCGATGTAGCTGACCCCGAACGCGTACGTCATTGTTGTTGCAACGTAAATCGCGTGCCGGGAGAACGGACTGGGCGAACTGACAGCCTTGGAGCTCGCCTGCTCGTATTATTTGAAGAAGAGTAAGGACAATGATTCGTATTACTTGTCCAGGCGACCTACCATTGCCGACGGGATACACAGTTATCTCAGCAACGCGGGGGCCTACGAAACAAAGTTTTTCTTCTTTCGTTACGATGGCCATTGCCACTTCTTGGATCTGAGTAGGCTTCTTTCTCTTTGTTTGTATTTCTGTTTTGTTTTTGACGAACTTATTGCGCTCGAAGCGTGTTCGCTCTAACGACCTAATTTTTCTTTCTGGACAATTAACAAGACAACTGAGCTAGGGCTGCTCCACGACAGAAGAAGAATCTTGCAGTTCAGCTCCCTTCCTGAAGACAAGCGCGACGCGAGGACGCTTGTGACAACCGAGAATTTGCAGAAGTACGGTTTCTTTAACGCCAACGCGTCGTTAGAACCTCCACAATGTAAGTTTCCTTAACTGACTCTTTTCTTGGTCGTGGAACAGAATACCTTCACTAACCTCGCCTTGCATGCAGTAGCAACCATGCCACCAAAGGAACCAGAGCAACCTCGTCGAAGGCCCATCAACTTTCCTCGGACGAAGAAAGCTAAGGCGGCCGAAGCTGCACGAATAGCCCCCTAGGCTGAGGGCGCGACCCCGAGCCAGCCACAGCCGGTAGAGGACGCACCAACGCGAACCACGAAGGTCGCCCAACCGTTGCCTGCTCGGCTAAGGACGAAAACCGTGGCCCAGCGGAAAAAGAGGAGCAGATTTAGGCTGAGGAATCAAATACTGAATCCGAAGGCGAGCAGCCAAAGAGGTCGCAACCGGACACGAGCAAGTCGGGCAAGGCGCCTATGGATGGCACGACTGCTATTGAGACTGCGAAGAAGGGTTCATCAGTATTGGACTCGCTGGGGCATCTGCTGGAGTACCTGCAGCCGGTGGTGTATGCCCTGCTGGAATGCGGACTTTCGGAATCTTTCGAGCAGTTGGCAAGTTCCAGCGACGTGGACCTCATGTCCACATCGATCCAGCATATGAGCAAGGTGAGTGAACTGTCCTCGGCGAGGACTTAACTTCTTTTGATTACCTAACTTTTTCTTCTTTTGTTCGTAGGCTCTCCTTTCCATGAAAATGTCCATGGAAAAGGCACAACTGGGAGCTGCGAAGGGAGGTGCTACCCTGAAGGAAGAGAACGCAGTGCTTAAACGAAGCTTGGAAGCTGCCGAAGCAGAGAGAAACCTGTCTCTCGAATCAGCGAACAGCTATTTGAACGAAAAAAACGTGACTCTTCGCACGGTGGATTTCCAGAAAGCACAGCTTGAGAAGTAGAGGGAGGAGATAAAAGAGCTGCAAAGGACTGTAGCCAGTTTCTCCAGATTGGTCGGGGAGAAGGACCAGGAGTTGAAAGCGACCTCCTTGCAGGTCTCGTGAGCAGAAAAGGAGAGAGAGGCCTCTGAGAAGCTAAGGCAGGCTCTTGAAGTTGAACTTCAGGAGAGTCAAGGGAAAGTTGCTTCCTTGACAGAGGAGGTTGATGAGAAGGCTGCCGAATGGGCAATCGACTCTATTTATGCCTTGCGATCAAAAAATCCTCTTCTAGACATGTCCGACCTCCCGGCAGACTGACAGGAAACACTTATGTCCATGACACGGGAGGATGATGAAGCAGCGGCCTTCCGACCAGAAGGTTCGGGACACGCAGCGGACAAACCCTCAGCCGACCAACCCTAGGTCGAGGAGGTCGGCCCCGTAGGGGCTGGATTAAGTCTTGTAATCATGTTTTCCTTCCTGCTGTACTTTATAGCAATGAGATACATTTTTGCCTTTACAATTTTCTGTTCGCTTTATCATACATGAGTTCTTTCCAATCGTTTAGATTCATTGAGTCAAAGATGACATAACTTATTCACACGAAATGGATTATACACAAAGATCGTTTACAGACGCTCAAGATAAAAACTTTACAAAGAAATGACTTACAAAAAATCAGAAATTAATTTACAAGGAAAGCTAAGTTCGGAATTACTGATAGTATGGTCGAAGATGTTTAGCATTCCAGGCCTGAGGTACCTTGGAACCGTTTAGCCTTTTGAGATGATAAGTCCCTGGTCTGATTACTTTGTCAATGCGATACGGACCTTCCCAGTTCGGCCCTAAAACTCCCGCGCTTGGTTCTCTGGTTCCGAGGAGAACTTCTTTTAACACCAGGTCGCCGAACTGGAAGTCTCTTCGCCGGACCTTTGAATCGAAGAACTTCTTCGCTCGTTGCTGATAGGCTGCTATCCTTAGCGAAGCCTTGCTGCGATGTTCTTCAATAGGGTCCAGGCTCGCCCTTATGAGTGCTTCGTTATCTGTCTCCTTGTATAAGTCTCTCTGAAGCGAACAAGTTCCTACCTCGATGGGAATCATTGCTTCACACCCGTATGTCAGCGAAAAGGGTGTTTCCGAGGTGGAGGTTCTTGGAGTTGTTCGGTATGCCCATAGGACTTCGGGGAGGTCGTCGGCCCAATTCCCCTTAGTTGCGCCAAGCTTTGCCTTCAGAGTGTGCTTGATGGTTTTGTTGACAGCTTCAACTTGGCCATTTGCTTGCGATCTTGCCATAGAGGGGAATTTCTTATGGATGCCCAGCTCGTCACAAAACTGTTTGAATTCCTCATTATCGAACTATTTTCCATTATCTGAAATGAGGGTATGAGGGATTCCAAAACGGCACACAATATTCCTGAAAGTGAAGTCCTTCAGCTTTCTGGTCGTGATCGCGGCTAGCGGTTCGACTTCTACCCACTTGGTGAAGTAATCTACCGCGACCACGACATATTTGACTCCCCCTCTTCCAACTGGCAAGGGGCCAATGAGATCGATCCCCCACATGGAAAAAGGCCAGGGGCTAGTCATAGTTATCAGTTCGTGGGAGGGAGCTCACTGTATGCTTGCGAACCGTTGACACTTATCGCATCTCTTGACAAAGTCGTAAGCGTCGTCTTGAATTCAGGGCCAATAGTACCCTTGACGAACAACCTTGTTTGCAAGAGATCGCGCGGCTGTGTGATTACCGTAGATCCCTTCATGAATTTGCCTCATAATGTAGTTCGCTTCTTCGCTGGTTACACATCGAAGGAGAGGGGCACTAAATCCCCTCCTATACAGCTGGTCCCCGATGAGGGTATAGCGAGCGGATCTTGTTCGCAGGACCCTTGCCTCGACCTTGTCATCCGGTAAGATCCCATTCTTAAGGTACAGAAAAATGGGAGTCATCCAGGAATCAGAATGAGTCGCATTCACGGCCTGTTCGATCGGGCTGATACTTGGGGTTTCGACGAGCCGAATAGGGATGCTATCTGGTGCCTCTGAGTCCAACGACGAGGCTATCCTTGCCAGGGCGTCCGCCACAGAGTTGTTGTCTCTGGGAATCTGCGTGATTTTATAATGTTTGAACGGCTCGAGTGCGGCCTTGGCTTCTTTCAGATAACGGACCATGTTTTCTTCCTTGGCTTGATATTCCCCCAAAATTTGGTTGACGACCAGCATGGAATCGATGTACACACTGATCGCGGTTGCGCCCATTTCTCTGGCCAACCACAACCCGGTGAGCAGAGCTTCATACTCAGCCTCGTTGTTGATCGCTTTAAATCTAAACCGAAGAATGCCATGAATGCGGGCCCCTTCGGGGCTCAAGAGAAGGAGACCGGCACCGACCCTTTTTCTGTTCGATGACCCGTCAACGTAGAGGCTCCAGGTCGACAGGTTCTGAATATCTTCCTGAATGGCTTCGCCAGGCTGTTGCTCGCTCGAAAGATAGGAAAATTCTGAGATGAAGTTAGCAACTGCTTGCCCTTTTATAGTCGATCTCGGCTTATACTTGAGATCGAACTGACTTAATTCCATGGCCCATTTAAGTAATTTACTCGATGCTTCTGGCTTTTGAAGGACTTGTATGAGTGGGTAATTAGTCATCACATGGATGGTATGGGCGTGGAAGTAAGGTCGTAGCTTTCTGGAGGCGATCAGCAGGGCATAGGCTAATCGCTCCATTTCTGGATACCGCATCTCGACATCCATCAAGCACTTGCTCGCATAGTACACTGGCCACTGCACCTTTTCCTCTTCCCGAATCAAAGCTGCACTGGCCACGAACTGAGAAACGGACAGGTACAGAAGTAGGATTTCTTGCGGAAAAGGCTTGGACAGGAGAGGTGGTTTCCCGAGGTGTTCTTTTATGCTTTGGAATGCCTGTTCGCACTCAGGTGTCCACTCGAGCCTCTTGTTGGCTTTTAGGACATTGAAGAATGGCAAGCAACGATCTGTTAATCTTGATATGAAGCGACTAAGTGCCGCTATTTGCCCGTTAAGGCACATGACCTGCTCTTTACTGGTCGAGCTCTCCATGTCGAGCAGAGCTTGAATCTTCTCGGGATTTATTTATATCCTCTGTTGGTTAACCATGTACCCTAGGAACTTTCCTGATGATACTCTGAATGAACACTTGAGAGGATTCATTTTCATCCTATATAGCCGGAGAATGTTAAACATCTCAGCGAGATGCGCAATGTGCTCTGAGGCGACCTGGGATTTGACTAGCATGTTGTCCATATAAACCTCTATTGTTCTTCCAATCTGGTCAGAGAACATACGATTAACCAATCGCTGGTAGGTCACGCCAGCTAGGGGTGGAAAAAACCGGTTAACCGAACCGGTTAACCAAAAACTTGAACCGAACCGGTTTTCGGTTTAAAAAAATGATTGAACCGAAACCGGTCCGGTTTCGGTTAAAAACCGGTTATGAACCGAACCGAAAATTCGGTTCGGTTAACCGGTTAACCGGTTTTAAACCGGTTAAATATTGGGTTGCATTATTTAGCCCAATTATGAATTATGGGCTGCTTTTTTTGGCCCAATTTGGTCGTCACACTCCATTTTTTTTTCCAATTTTTTTTTTACTTGAATTAAAATTATGCTTTACCAAACGATGAAGGAGAAGGAGGCTGAAGTCCAATCATGGTGTTCTGTTCTCGCTTCTTATCCAAATCTAAACACAAAAGCTGTGAAAGAGAAGAAATGGAGAAGACGAAAAAGAAAAAAAAAACAGAAAAGTGACAGGAGAAGAAGACGAAAAAGAAAAGGAAAAGTGGAGAAGGAGAAGAAGAGAAGAAGACGAAAAAGAAAGAGAAATTGGTGAAGGAGAGGAAGAGAAGAAGACGAAAATGTGAAGAATAATTGAAAAAAGAAAGAGAAAGCAGTGAAAGGAGAAAGAAGACGAAGAAAGATAAAAAAGTTGGTGAAGGAGAGGAAGAGAAGAAGACGAAAATGTGAAGAAAAACTGAAAAAAGACAAGAGAAAGAAGTGAAAGGAGAAAGAAGAAGAAGAAAGAAAATAGTGAAAGATTGCGTGAGAACCAAACCCAAGAAAATGCGCAGAGTAGCAGACTGCAGGTCTGCGTAGCTGATACCAAGAAAAAGGGGGGGAAAAAATAAGGGATTTTTTTATGTTTTTATTTTTTTCAAAACCGGTTTTCAAAACCGGTTCGGTTAACCGGTTTAATATTATCCTTAAACCGTTAACCGATCCGAAAATTCGGTTTAATTATTTTTGAAAACCGAAACCGAACCGGTTGATTTGAAAAACCAGTTTTTCGGTTCGGTTTCGTTCCGGTTTCTCGGTTCGGTTCGGTTTTCGGTTTTTTTTTTCCAGCCCTAACGCCAGCGTTCTCGAGGCCGAAAGGCATAACTTTGTAACAATACAGCCCCTGGTCTGTAATAAAGGACGTATGCTCCTCGTCCGGCCCATACATCAGAATTTGATTGTATCCCGAGTATGCATCCATAAAACTAAGCAGCTAGTGCCCCGAGGTGGCATCCACGAGCTAGTCAATTCTTGGCAAGCGGAAGCTGTCTTTAGGGCAAGCCTTATTGAGGTCGCTGAAGTTGACGCAGGTTCGCCACTTGCCATTTGACTTCTTTACCAGGACCGGGTTGGCAACCTAGGTCGGGTAGAGTGCCTCTCGGATGGATCCATTTAGGAGGAGGTTGTCCACTTCTAATTTCAAGGCGGCATACCGCTTCGGATCCATTGCTCTTCTTTTCTGGCAGACTGGCTTGGCTTCACCGTCGATGTTTAACGCATGGCAAATGATATCCGGGCTGATCCCGACCATATCTGCATGCGACCAGGCAAACACATCGATGTTTTCGACCAGGAAGCTTATCATCTCGGACGCGACCTGGGGGTTGAGACATCTTCCAATTCTTAACACTCGGCTCGGTTCTTTCGGATCAACCGAAACCTCGGACACATCCTCAACTGGGCCGCTGGGAGGGATCTCTTGGATTCGAGGATCTATATTATCCTCTGCTGGGCCAGGCTGCGGTTCGATCCGACTGATCATCATAGCCTGGCGGGGCACACATCGTGAAATGCCATTTCCTTTACACGCCATCTGCACTGCTTTTATGTAGCAGTCGCGAGATGCGCTTTGCGATCCGCTCACTTCCCCTATCCCCGTTGGAGTTGGGAACTTTATCTTGAGATGGTATATGGAAGTGACTGCCTTGAAGCTTTTCAACAGAGGTCGCCCCAAGATTCCATTGAAGGCCAATGGGCAATCCACAACCAAGAATTCAGTAACCCTCGTCACCTCGTCGTAGTCACCGAGCGTGACTGGGAGCTAGATTGTTCTTTTAGGGATCACGTGGTCCCCTGCAAAGCCGTAAAGAGGGATCGAAGCGGGCTTCAGGTCGGCCTCGTCCAAGTTCATTCTTTTGAAAGCGGTCTGGAACAGGATGTTCACAGCGCTTCCGTTGTCCGCGAGCATTCTGCGGACATTATGGCATCCTATTAGGGGCGTGATCACGAGGAAATCGTCGTGACGATGATGCAAACGAGATGCCTCCTTCTCATAGAAGGCAATCAGCTCTTCCTTTCGAGCCTTTTGTGGTCGCTGCGATGTGCTCATCACCCTGATCGGGTCGTGATGGGCTTCGCGAGCGTACCTTTCCTGCGTGCATCGCGTGTTTCCCGCGAGGTGCAGTCCTCCAAAGATCATGTTAACGCTGCTATACCCACGGCGATTACGACGTTTTCTTCCTTGTTCCTCTTGGTTCTTCTCTTTTGCAGGAGTGGAGTCATCAATATATTCCTTGAAGTGCCATTTCTTGATGAGTTCTTCGATCGCTTGCTTTAGAGCTCGGCATTCATTTGTGTGATGCCCGTTGTCCCGATGAAAGCGACAATATTTTTTATTATTTCTGGCTGTCACGGGAGTTTTCATGGGCTTTGGCTCACCGAGCACACTGGCCTCCTCGGATTTATCCAGAATGGCCGATATAGACACATTCAACGGAGTATAATGAGCCTTGTCCTGTCGCGATGAGGAACATGATCATGAAGGGACCATCAACACATGGATGCTTTCATATTTATATCAATAAAATAGCTGTAGTAGACTGTCTTTAGCTTTTATGTGTTAAACGTATTAAAATTAAAATGTTGTTGACTTTATATATTTTAATAAATTTTTCCTTGATATAATTTCATTTTAAGTTAAAAGTGATATATGAATTCATAGTTTTGATAATGATAATAGTTGTACGTTCCATTGTGGGGGAAAAAAAAAGGTTATTATTTATAATTTTATTTATTAAATGTGAAATGTATATATAAAATTGTCAGATCAAATTGATATAAAATAACTTTTGTTACTCTTTTAAATTGTTGACAAGATATTTTTGTCACTTTTAATATTAACAAAAAAATTATATAAGGTCTCAAAATTTAATGACTTAAATTTTTGTCACTACACTTTTCATGTTTTTGACAAAAATATTTCTGTCGCTATTAACAAAATTTGATAAATATAATTTATCACGATTTTAATTTCCCCATAATTTTTTTTTTTCACTTGAATATTCTTTTCACAAAAAAGATTCGTCACATTTTAGAAGCACAGACATGAATATTTTTATCATTATTGAGATGTCAAAAAATATTTGTCACGCTTATATTATTTTGACAATAAAAAATCTGTCATGTAAAAATATTTGTATCAAAAATTATTTGTCATGCTATTAAATTATTTACAAAATTATTTTTGTCACTATATAATTTTTAACAAATAATATTGTCATATAAACAAACATGTGACGAAATAAATGTTGTCACAATAAAGTCAATGACAAATAAATTTCTGTCACTATTAAAATTATGACCAAATAATTTAGTCACCATTCACAATTTTGACAAAATCAATTTTGTCATAATATATGATTTTTTCACTATAAAGCTTATCATTTGGTCTTTAAATGTAAATCAATTGTGACAAAATATTACTTGTAGTGATAAAAATTGTTTTCTATTGTTACAAATAATTTATCACAATAAACTAGTTTAAAGTGACAAATTATTATTGTCACAATAAATAATTAGGTTATGGTAACTAAACGCTTTTTCGTTACCTTACACTTAAGAGTACGAGCTTAATGTGACCAACCTAGTGACCAATATAATTCCTCACATTAAAGAAATAGTCACAATTTTGATACTTATAGTGACAAATTATTTTGTTGTGAGAAGCCTAAATTCTTGTAGTGTGAGCATAGGATTTCTTGTGCTCGTAGCGGGGTTTCTTCCCTTTTCGTTGATCGTCAGCGTCCCCTCTGCGATCAACTCTTCTACTTTCCTCCCGACCAGACATACTGCTTGATGCGCCGGGGTCACGACGGCGTAGTGCCGCCAATGAATTTTCTATTCGGAGGTACTTCTCTACAAGGTTGTAGAATCCCGTGAGGGAGACATCGTCCTCAGCTTGTAATTCCTTTCACAGGTCGGTTTGAGGGCGAACCCCGGCTATAATGAGAGTCCGAACAGACTCTTCGAGGGTATGAGCCACCTTGTTGAGTTTCCTGTGGAAACGGTCAATGTAAGACTGGAGTGATTCATCCATTTCTTGCCTTATGTTGCTAAGGTAGCTCAAAGGCATTGAAAACTTTCGATTCGCTTGAAAATGCCTGAGGAACGTCGTGCTCATCTGAGGCCACGAACTGACTGACCCTACTGGGAGCGACCTGAACCATCGTTTGGCATGGGATGTCAATGTTACTGCTAGACAGCGGCATTTTGCCAAGTCTGAGACCTGGTGAAGCTCCATCAGGTCGTTAAATTCATACAGATGATCTTGCGGATTAGAGTTTCCATCAAACGCCCGCATTTCGGGCATCCTGAATCCTGACGGGAGTGGAGCAGCTAACACCTCGGGAGAGAAGGGGGACGCAGACGCGACCTGTCCCTGCTCATTTTGCTGGGCCCTTAGCTTGTCTAGAGCTCGCTGCAACTCTTCAATTTGCGGCAGCGGAGCTGCTTGGGGCTCTTCTTCGCCTTGGTTGGCGGTTCTAGCCACTCTCGACACACGCTGACTAGAGGCATGCGATGGCGATGAGAGGTGCGGGGTATTCTCACGACCTTCGTGGTGGTAAGAACCGCCCGGCGAAGTGTGGGACCCTCTCGCACGGTGGTGACCAGGATTGGCTTGCTGACGGTGATAAAAATCGACCCGTCCAGCACTTTTATGGGTATGTACCTGCGACATGGCGTGGGACAGCTCAAGCTGTGTCTTTTCACCAAGTCTCAGCGAGACTGGTATTTTGCTTGGAACGCGGTCAGTGTTTGCTGGCCCTTTGGAGCCCGTGGGCTTGCTTTTTGCCACTTGCTTACCCTTTCGCCTTTGCGCTGCAGCGCTCGTGGCACGGGCTATTTCCCTTTGCCGCACTTTCGCGTGACCTGCAGGCATTTTTGGCTGTTGTACCGCCGCAGCTGACTTGGATGGCGCGCCTTGGTCCAAACGGTCAAACCTTTGGTTGACCGTCTAGAGAGTATTGTCAAACCTCTCCAGGTAGCTTCTTATAGCGAGGTCAAGCTGTGAGCTTGATGGGATATCTCCCGCAGCATTCTGCAGAGTTGAAGGTTTTTTGGAAGAGGTATCCCCTTGAACGTGGGGGGACCCTTGAGTACCCTGGTTGGTTTGTTCATGTTCTGGTTGGCGGGCCATTTGTTATTGTAGAACCGGTAGGTTGGAGACTCTCCTGATGAAGGATGAACACTAAATCAGGCCTTCCTTCTAGCGCCAAACTGTTGATGCTGGATTTTGCACCAACGAAATGCACGTGCAAAATGGTGCAAGGGGCCCCGAAATCACACGTGAAAATAATGGATGAGGGATAGTAAATGCAATAAAGACAAATTTTAAAGTGGTTCTGATGCTAAGGTAGCAAGTCCTACATCCACTGATGCTTATATTGATGATATGAGTCAGGTCGCTATTAGCTGACTGACTTTACAATGATATTACAAGGTATCGATTGCTGAGAAAAGAGAGAGAGTAATTAATTGAGTGAAAAAGGTGCCAATCCCTTTAATGAGAGATGAATTCCTAATTTATAGTCAAATGCCTTGAGGCAATCATCACTAAATCTGCGAGTTGGTGGGATTATCCGTGCAAATCCTTCTTTATGTCACATTACCAACCTTCCAGAGTGATTTGCGCGATTTAGAGCTGGGATTGGACACGTGGGAGCACCACAACCTCCTGACTAGCCTGACGCGCGCCCACTACCCTGACAGACGCAGACAGTGTCTGTTCCAATGATCTGACTTTTGCTGGCTAAAGGGTCCTGACGTCAGCCCTTATATTTTTAGGCATAACAATATCATTTAAGAAAATAATTATACCTATCATAAGTTGTACATATAGAATAGTTGTATGGATTATGAAATTTTATTAAACTTGACCATTTCTAAAGACGTTTATGAAACTGTGACTTTGATTTCTTCACTTGCCTGCCTAGTGTCACGGGGTGGGAGTTTCACACTCAAAAGGCTAACCTATTAGGTGGAGGGACTCCCCCCATTTATAAGCCTAAGACCTCCCCAATACGCTTTCAATGTGGGATTTGTTACATTCTCCCCCACCCAATCCTGTGACGTCCTCGTCACAGGTGGGGCCCCCTGCCTACCCATCCACCTCACTCTCGTGTGGACCCACAATCACACGTGGACGCCCCTGCGTGGGCGCTTGACGGGACATCGAAAGACGGATTGGGTCTGCTCTGATACCACTTGTCACGGGGTGGGAGTTTCACACCCAAAAGGCTAACCTATTAGGTGGAAGGACTCCCCCCATTTATAAGCCTAAGACTTCCCCAATACGCTTTCAATGTGGGATTTGTTACACTAGCTTTGCCAAGCCAACCAATTTTCTCATGTTTGTATTAAGGCTTTTTTTTTTTTTTTTATGCAAATTTATTTTGATCCATAAAAGCCCTACATAGCATATAGTTTAAAAATCTTGATTCCAATGTTAAATAGGTAAGCAAAGAATCTCTCTAAAAAAAAATAATAGAGAAATTTTTTAATATATTCCAAACAAGTAAAAATCCATACTAATTTAGTCCAAATATTGAAATTAATAATATTCCCCTTCCCCTCTCTCCCCCCCGGGGAAAAAAAACAACAACAAAAAAGAAAAGAAAAAAAATCCTTATTTGAACAGTTTTCACTCTAAAATTCCTTTATTTTCATGGTGCACACTGTTCTCCTGGCGCCCTTTAGACAAATGTCCTCTTTCTTTCATAATTTGCGCCAAATGCCCAAAACTGAAAACTCTCTCACTCTCTGAACTGAACTTAACTTCGAAGCTCGGAGCTTAAACTCTATCTCCCAATTCAAGAAAACGCTGTCGTTTTATACTTATTATTTCGCTGTTTTGGACCTGTTAGGGTTTTCTGTCTCACATGTAGTCGAGTGATTCTCTTTACATTTGCTCAATTTGGGACCTACCCAATGCTCGCTCTGTCATCAAAATTTGTTCTCTATCAATTTGAGGGTTTAAAGATCGAACTTTGATCAGTTTGGTTAGGGTTATTGGAATTTCAGCTTCTGGGTTGGTTCAATTGGGTGTTTGATTTTTGAAATTTGCAAGCTGTTTTGGGGTTTAAATTAGGGTTTCAAGTGGGTTTCGATTTGTGGGATGAATAGTGTGTTCAGTGAACAGATACTTGCAGAGAAGCTCTCCAAGCTCAACAGCACCCAACAGTGTATTGAAAGTATCCTTTTTGTTCGTTATTTTTATTTGTTTTCGTGAGAATAATTAGTTTGTTTTTGTTGGAGTTAAAAGCAATAAAAATCAATTGTTCGGGCTTCTAACTCTTTCAAGAAACCTTTAATCTTCATCCTCCTAACAAAAAAGGTTCAATCTTCAACAGTTTTATAGCTTATTGTTTTATTAATGAACATTTTTTTAGTCCTTTGTTATGCTCATGATGTTTGGTATATGCAGTTAAGAGTAGAACATGATTTTGTGTTGTGTTGTATGAGTTATTGCAACAAAGTTTTTGAAATTTGGATGCTTTTTATGCCTGTGCTCGAGGACGTATCGTAATTGCATTGTTCACGATTTTTGCTGTATGTGATGGTCAATACTAATTGCAGCAAATTCTTAATTCCTTGGCTGATTGAGGTCAAATTTGCAGTCAAAAGGACAGGCAATTGATTTAGAATGTAATTGTGGAGCAAACATGAGAATTTATTGGATATTTAAGGTTGAGCTTTTGATGTTTGATACTGTGTGTACATGCGTATAATCCTTGGAGGTCTTCACCTTCCTGTCGAGAAATTTGGGAGGTGTATTTTCTTTTTTTGAATTGAGTGAAAAATGAAATTAGGAATGAATGAGAATGGCTTTTTTTTTTGTTCAAGTTTAATGTTTGGATTATGTGGTCTTGAATGGAGATTGTACAGATACTGCTCTTTTTATGGTGTTGATGAGTAATAAAGTAAGTAATTTAAATGTTGTTAGGGATTTGCATATGCGCAAGAATAGTGAGAAGATAATAAAATTGCAGTTGCGTGTTAATATTGGTCTTCTATCCATGTCATCTGTTACCTTAACTTATTTGCATAGCATTGTCACACTGGTGTATATTTCACCAGAGCAAAGCAGAACTGGTGGTTGCAACATGGGATAAACAATTTCACAACTCTTCGATGGTTCAGAAAGTTCCCCTTTTGTATCTTGCAAATGACATCCTACAGAACAGTAAGCGTAAGGGAAATGAATTTGTCACCGAGTTTTGGAAAGTCCTTCCCTCGGCTCTCAAAGATGTTGTTGAGAAAGGGGATGATCCTGGAAAGAAAGTTGTCTCCAGATTGGTAAGATTCTTAGTACTGAGCACTGATGACATAGTTCCTTTATAAACCAATGAATCCATCAATTACCTTAATTTTGGATTTAAATTATTGCACTCTGTTATCAATTTAATTAAAAATATCTGTGTATGTTTAGTAATATCAATCCGTTATAATCTACTACCCGATATTTATTAACTGTTAATGAATGATTAATCAAGAGTTTCAACCCCAAGAATTAAGTTGATGGTTAAGGTCTTTGTTATAAACTAAGAGGTCAGGGATTTGACTTCCTTTCTAGCCAATTTTTTGAGATATTTTATACTCAAAGTTTCTTGATTAGCAGGGTTCTAGAGTCTAGTAGTAATTTATAGTTTAGGCATTGGTGAACATGTAAGAAAGTTTAAGGAATATCTGGTGTAAAGAAGGGTGAACATGTTACTTTTCTTGGAAATCTGTTAATTACTTTTTACTAAATTGGCAGGTTAATATATGGGAAGAAAGGAGAGTCTTTGGGTCCCGTGCACGAAGTCTCAAAGATGTCATGCTTGCTGCTGGAGATGTGCCTCCACCACCCTTGGAGTTCAATGGCAAAAAACGTTCACGCTCAGTCAGAATTGTGAAACGAGATTCGCGATCCATTAGAACGGTCAGAAAGTGCCATTTTATTCCTCTCTTTCTCTCTGTGTGTTTGTTTCTATATTTTTCTTGATGTGATCACATTATTAGCTTACTTTTCTTCTTATTTTTCTGGACATCAGAAATTGTCTATTGGGGGTGTAGCTGAAAAAATAGTGTCAGCATATCACATTTTATTCATCTCTTTCTCTCTGTGTGTCTGTTTCTATTTTTTTCTTGATGTGATCACATTATTAGCTTACTTTTCTTCTTATTTTTCTGGACATCAGAAATTGTCTATTGGGGGTGTAGCTGAAAAAATAGTGTCAGCATATCACATTTTATTCATCTCTTTCTCTCTGTGTGTCTGTTTCTATTTTTTTCTTGATGTGATCACATTATTAGCTTACTTTTCTTCTTATTTTTCTGGACATCAGAAATTGTCTATTGGGGGTGCAGCTGAAAAAATAGTGTCAGCATATCACTTGGTGCTCAGTGAACGACCCAGTGAAGAGGAAGAGATGGCTAAATGCAAGTCAGGGGTTCATCGTGTGAGGAAGATGGAGAAAGATGTTGGTATTGCCTGTACTATCGGTAAGCCAATAATGATACAGGGTCAATATATATGTTGTAGTTTTGAAAAAATATTTAACATATTCATTTTTACTTCTTTTCATTTGTAGACATTTAAAACTCATGCTATGATTGTCAGAAATTGGTTGTCTGAAATGTATTTTCTTTGTCCTCAGCTAAAGATCCAAAGCGGAAAACCTTGGCTACTGAACTCGAGGAGGAAGAAAATCTTTTGAAACAATGTATTGAGAAACTTAAATCCGTTGAAGCCAGTAGAGTAGCACTTGTGTCTCAGTTAAAAGAAGCTCTCCATGAAGAGGTACCTGATCATCCCATCATATAAAAAGAAATTTTTTTTAAGAAGTTTGTGCATGTAATAACTTGTGACAATAGGAGTTTTGCTATTCCATGTTCTTACTTTCTGAATCTCTTTCAGGAATCTGAACTGGAGAATGTTCGCACTCAGATGCAGGTACATTTTATGCTACTTAATGCCTTTAAATGTTTTTTCGTTTCACTTATCTTCTAATAAGAGCATGTGATAAGTGTACCTTTAGCTCCGGTAACCACTCTATGTAGTTTCAACTGTTGGATGCTAGGCAGCTTGTCACGGAGTACCCCCATTGTTACTTACTAGTGAAATGGTTCCTTTTTTAAATCTGTAATTTGTCATGAATTCTGTCTCTCCTGAGGTTGATTAAGTCATGGAAGTTTGTGGAAATATATAGAAGTTTGAGGTAGAAAACTTATCATATCTACACAGCCTTCTAAACCGTGGGGTTCAGGTTGAACACTCATCATGCATCAACTTAAGTAATCAGTTTCAGTAATCTATTGGCTGAAACCTGGAGTTCGATAATCTGTATCTTTCTGTGGTCAAATTTGGTTCCAGTCACAATAGTCAATTTGTTTTGAAGTTTTCTGGAACGTATGATTGCCAACAAAATATTGCTATATTATTGTTGAAACCTGTATCTTCTGAGTTGAATACTAGGCTGACTGTAGATCTATATGCTACGGTCCAAAAAAGGATTATCAGTTTGTTTTAATGTATTAATCTAGGTAGCTCAGGCTCAGGCAGAGGAGGCCTGCAACATGCGGAAGCGACTCAATGATGAAGATTATGTATCAAAACCATCTACTACGACTACCCCGTCAGTTGATATGAATTCAAAAGCAGGACAAACACCAAAGAGGACGGCTGCAGCTATTGCAGCTGAAGTTGCAGACAAGCTTACAGCCTCTAGCTCCTCTCAAATGATCATGCACTCTGTTCTCTCTACATTTGCAGCTGAAGAAGCAAAGAATGCTGGTTTAGTAAAGGCTTCTACACCATCAAGTTCGTTCACACCGACACCTGTCAATGCAGTGACCGACGCGATTTCAAAATCTGAGAAGCCTATGCCTGTTTCGGATCCCAACATGTTTTTGCCAGCTCAGTCAATTGCTGCTCCTAACCATTCATATCAAACAGTTTTGGTACCCCAAGCAACTCTGCCAAACCAAGCCTCAACCTCACAAGCTCAATATCACATGCTCTCTAACCCGCCTCCCCAACAATATCTGCAGCCATCAGGAGGGATCATGACCCCATACGGATACAGCAACATCCCACCCATGCCAGCAGGACCGCCTCCACCAGCCCATATGGTGAGTCCAATGGTTCCTTTGACTCAGCAACCAATTCCATTGGCGCAGCAACCAGCACATATGAATCAGCAGATACCTGTATTAAATCAGCAACCCCCGACAGCTCCTAGTTTCAGGCCACTGCAGCCGCCGGGAATGGTGTATTATGGTCATCCTCCCCATTCCTAATGATAGTTATTTTTGGCCAAAGTTAGATCAGTGGAATCTTTTTGAATTTGTTTACTGGTAGAATCTATTTCCGGTGAGTTGAAAATTTTGTTTGTGCAAATTGGCTTTGCAGAGGTGAAAATACATAGATGTTGGATAATAAGCCTACAAAAATCAATTCAAAGAGCAGCTGAAAATCATAAGCAGGGGATAACAATTAACAAAGAACTAGTGTAATATTATTAATTTTTAGATTTTTTTTGATTCGTGAAAACAAATGTATTCCACAGATGATTTTAGATTTTAGAAGAGAAAAAAAATAAAACCATATCGTTCAAACTTAGTACATTTGAAAGTAAAGAAACATAAACAAATTGACGCAACATTGTCTAGCCCCACGCCCAATGTAGAACTCTTTTAACCTTTCATTACCCTCCTTGCAACGAAATCTTTAAACCAATTGGGCATATGGTACATGATTGCCATCACGGTGGAGAATTGTCCAGTGGTGAACCAAGCTGGGGGGTTGTCCTTTAACAAAACAGCTACAGTGTCCCTTGCAAACACGTCTGCAGGGGTTGATTTTGGTGTTTGTGAAAGATATGCTCTCTCCTTGATTATGTCTTCAAATGGCTTGTATAGTTTCCATTCAGGCATCTTGCTGTAGTAGGCAACGGCGGAGTTTGCTATGTTAGACTTAATCGCCCCGGGAACAACGAGGGTAACATGAATCCCAAAATGACGGAGTTCCAATCTGCATTAGACATCAATAATTTTATCAATAGGATTCAATCTTGAAACCTCTTGTACAAGAGATATCCGACCAGCTGAAATGGCTTTGCGCAGTTAACAGCAGTAATTTCGGGGGAGACATGCATACCTCAAGGTATCAGTGAAGGCATGAATGGTAGATTTAGTTGCAGCGTAAACAGAAGCCCATGGTGTAGGTATTGCAACACTAATACTTCCTGTATTTACAATCTTTCCCTTTTTCCTGGCAGCCATGTGGGGAACAACAGCTTGAATCATTCTCAGGGCACCTATTTGTCAATCAGTAGACATTAAATATCAGATGGGAAACACCAAATACAGTAAAGCAGTTTATTGCAGGATTAGAAAGGTGGCTAAATTTTCTGCTCAAAACTATCCAAAGGATGGAAGGATAGAGGCCTTTGGTGTCCCCTCCAGTCAAGAATTGGGCCCTCACCCAGACAACAAAAGAATCACAGGATGAATATAGATGTGAGTGTATTTAGAAGCAATTTACGTATAAAAACTACAAAGAGATGATAATTATATAAATCAATCTCACTATTGGTCGAAATCTCATCGAATTAATATATTAGATCTTAAATTCTAATCCACGTTTTGGAACTAGACAGACTTAAATATTAATATTGGATCCTTACCTAATAACTTAACGAACACTGAATGTAAATGTAAAGAAATAAAAGAATAATAATATTACTAAACTTACCATAAACATTGGTGTTGAAAGTTTCCTCCACAGCTGACAAAGGAAGCTCAGCAAGAGGGCCAACACACTGGACTCCAGCATTGTTAACCAAAATATCAATTCTCCCAAACTTTTCAATAACATTTTCCACACAGTTCTTCACACTTTCATCTGAAACAACATCAAGTTCATGCAGAAAGAACCTGGAATCATTCTCCAGATCTTTCATGGTTTTTTTTGACCTGCTTGTGGCCACAACATGACACCTTCTTGAAGCAAACTCAAGTGCCAATGCATGGCCTATTCCTCCCTTAGAGCAGCCTGTGATCAACACAACTGGCTTATTATCTTGAAACTCCATTGAAATGGGTATTTTTAGAGAGAAGTGTTTTTGAATTTTGTGTTGCAAGAGAGAGAGAGAGGTGAAGGTTTGGATTTAAAGGAAAGTGGATGAAGTGTTGCTTCAAGAGTCAACTTTGAACCCTCAAATTATGTATACAGAAATGTAAAATACAGCTTGAAAGATTCTGAGAAATCACCTGTTTATATCATTAACGTGGGTTGGAATGTTAAAATTATATTGATTCATCTTTCACATTTCAAATATACAAATCCCCCACATTTACGTTGAGTTGAATTATAAATTATTTATTAGTCATTTCGGATCTGGTATAAGAACAGTACAAACTGAATGTAAGAATGTACATAAAAAATTATATATAACGTATATTGACAGGAGTGTTCATGTCACGTAAATAACTTCAAAAAAAGGTCTCGTAGATAATATTTATTTATTTAACGATAATATTATATACATCAAAAGTTATCTCACGTTATACATAAATATTTTTGTGTATAGTTATCTGTACTAATTTTAATTTCTAAAATGTTAACGGTTTGTTTAAAGGACTTAGTTTAACCACAAAATCATATGATTTAACCGAATGATTTTTACTGAAAAATTTCAAGGACAAAAATAGTTAGAATGCGTTAGATTACTAAGTTTAGTATGATCTGGTATGCTTTAATTAAACTATCAAATTATACTGTTAAATGCTAGACTACCGATTCTAGTATAATCTAACGTTATATATTAGTAATATATCATTTGTTATTTTATTAAAGGTACAAGTGATAAGTTATTAAATTTTATGATTGGATTTATACTTTAAATAAAATCTGCATATTTTGAGAAATTGTGATTATTGAGTTGATTATATATGTCTATATATAATCCTATATGGTGTTGAAATGTTAATGAAGTGATGATATTTAGTGGTGATTTAATAAATGATATCACAATACCAAATAAGATAACACATCACTTCAGGTTGAGTTGGATCTAATTTTCTGACAAATTATTTTTTGATTATTTTAGAATCCAACTATGATATAAAAACCGATAGTAGAAACTAAATGAAAGAATGTATATAAAAAGTTAAATAATGTATAACATTACTCTTTCAAATTTTTTCACGATTGTGGCTCTTCCTTGGAATGTTAAAAATATTATGTTCATGTTAAGTAAGAGGTACTCATGATCATTAATGTTAAATACAAATTTAAGATTTGCTTTAAATTATAATCGGGTTATCATGTTACACATTTGACATTTAAAAAATACGAAAATGGAACATGCACAGGTGTTGAGATTATTAATTTGAGTTTTGTATTATTCTCATGTATATGGCAGATTCGATAATTTTTTTTTTTTTTAAAATAATGGCTAACAAAATCATTTTGATTCAACCAAAAGACACAACTAATTTGACTTAAAAAATAATAGAAGAATAATTTTACTTGATTCTAATAGTTCGATAGAAGAATATTACTAAACATACGAACTTTCTGTATATAGAAAAAAAAGGAAAAGTGGAGTTCTAATAGCTCGATAGTGTTATCAGATTGACTTAGTTATTCAAGTTTTTTGATGAATTTATTTATGTTTATTTTCATGGAATAGGTTAGAAAAAATTAGAAAAACTCAAGAGGAAATCCATTGCATAGCATAATATTGATTCGTTAATGTTATTAAGTTAATTGAATATATATAGATCGATTATCATAATAATAATAATAATAATAAATATAATACCTTGATGCATGGTTCGCAATTGTATTTGTTTATTAGGTAGCTTAAAAAAAAAAAAATATTGGATTAGATTTTTAGGGTTATAGAATCTCTTGACAGATGGTTGGCAAGATCAAATATTGATTTAAATTTGGTTTTATTAATAAACTAATGGCACTCATATATTATATATAACTTGTAAATTTATAATATCTTTGGCGTGAGTTATTTTTAATGTACATTAATTTTGAGTATTAGATATAATCTTATGGATAGTAGTATAGAAATATAAGGACATTACCTTATTATATAAATTTTTTTAATGCCCTCTACTTCTAAAGTGATAAATTAACTTGATAAATATTTTTAATTTTGGAAACATAGAATATAATGTAATATAACAAGTTAATTTTGCTTTTTGCATATAATTAATTAATTAATTTTTTTTTTTTTTTTGTAGATTTTTTTTTTCTTATTATTTTTGTTAATTCTAATAAACAGTACTTCACTAGGTAGTCCTTTGTCGCATTTTTTTTTTTTTCTAATTGTTTCGTCTGTTGTGGTGGAACCAGGAAATTATATTGGGGCAAAATGTAAAGTTTGGCAAATAAGCGAAGCCAAAAAATAAATAATTTTCAAGGAATGGAATTGTGCAAAATCAGATGTAAAATTTTATATTTTTTTGTGGGAGTAGGAAGCCATTGCCACCTAGATCAGAGAATAGTTTCATTCTTACGGTCAGATTGATAATTATAAAAACTAATACCTCAGTGAATGGACACAAAGATGATGTGGTTTAGGGGTGTGCAAAAGACTTGGTCGGAATCAGAATCGGCATGTCTAAAAAATAGGAATTGGTACTGTGCGGTTCCAATTTTGGTTCCATTACTACAGGAATTGGAATCCGAATTCGGAACCAGAATCAGAACTGAGACTACGGTAGGAATCAAGACTAGATTGTAAATTTTGTAAACTTTTGAGGGTGTATTTGTAATTTTTGTCAGTGTATTTGTTATTTTTGTAAGTAGTAGGGGGTAATGCAATTTTTTCAGGTACCAGATTTTAGGAACCCAAACCAAAATCGGCCAGTTCCGGTTCTAGTTCCATGGGATTTAGGGGGTACCTAGATCCGCCCACACCTAATGTGTTTGCTCGTAACACAAAATTTAAAGAAATCAAGGACATTGATGTTGAATTAATGTTTGCTTAATAGTTGATAATGGAACCTCAGCAAAACGATAATATATGATAGTTGTCTCACCACCTCATTTACTGATGTGTGAGACTGTCCAATAAAATAATGACATATGTGATTAGTTTTCAATGCTACCCATCATGGTAGTGTTTATTGATGAATCGTAATGACAATTTGATGAAAAAACAAAGTTTAACACATGTAACAATGTAGAACATTATTTTATTGGACGTACAGTTTTATCATATTAGCAAAATAAGGTGGTATGGTGATAAGACTGTATCAACCGAGTGTCATCTTGTATGCTTTCAAGAACAAACACATGGACCTAAGCAACAATGAACTCAACATTTCACTAGTTTCTTTATAATAAAATCTTTAACAAAGACGGGCATATGGTATAAGATTGCCATGATGGTGGAGTAAGTACCAGTGGAGAACCAAGCTGGGGGGTTCTTCTTCATCACCGCCACCACCGTATCCTTCGCAAACACTTCTGCAGAGATCGGTTTTAGTGTTTGATAAAAATATGCCATCTCTCTGATAATTTCTTCAAATGGCTTGTATAGCTTCCATTCAGACCTTTGGTTGTAGCTGGAAAGGGAAGACTTTCCTATATTGGACCTTATAGTCCCAGGGACAACGTTGATGACGTTGATGCCAAAATGATGTAGTTCCAATCTGCATTAAACATTAATATTTTAAAAAAAAATTCATGAAATAAGTGATCACCTACTTTTGAAAATCCTTTATCACTTAGTTCTTAAGCTACAACAAACCTAAAACGGGTTTGGGGAGGTTATGTTACAATCTTATAGATGACTTTATGATAAACAAACCTCAAGGTATCAGTGAGTGAATGAAGAGCACATTTACTTGCAGCGTAAACACCAGCCCACGGTGCAGGGATGTATGCGGTAACACTTCCCACATTTACAATCTTTCCCTTCTTCCTAGATGCCATGTGGGGAACAACAGCTTGAACCATCCTTATGGGACCTAATTGTGAGTAAATTAACAGTAAATTGTAATATTAGGAACCAAAAGTATTAATTATTGTATGGAAAAATTGTCTTGGTTTGAACGTCCTGATATTTTAAAATTCTTGCAAGTCCAGATTTTAGCTCTCACATGACAAGAAAACTTTTCGTGTAAACCAAAAAATAAAAACTAAAAAGAGCAAAATTGTACTTACCATAAATATTGGTGTTGAAACTTTGCTCCATTGCTGATAATGGAAGCTCAGCCAGAGGGCCAATACATGGAACTCCAGCATTGTTAACCAAAACATCAATTCTTCCAAATTTTTCAACAACATTTTCCACACAATTCTTCACACTTTCATCTGAAACAACATCAAGTTCTTGCACAAAGAACCTGGGATCTTGTTCAAGATCTTGCATGGTTCTTTTTGACCTACTTGTGGCCACAACATGGCAACCTTTTGAAGCAAACTCACGAGCCAATGCATGGCCTATTCCTCCCTGAGAACACCCTGTGATTAGCACAACTGGCTTCTCATCTTGAAGCTCCATTGAAATGGGTTGCCAGTTTGAGTCGTTTTAGAGTGGAGGGACTTGAGATTTGTGTTGAATGAATTATAGAAAGTGTATGAAGAGTTGCTTCAACTGTCAACTGTAATTTGATCTGTCAAATCATATATTAACAAGACAAGAAATCAGTAACGTATACTTTGAAATTTGAATAGTATTTTGTTGACATTTTAATATTTGTATTGAATCTTGATATGTCTAAACTTTGATTTTATATTATGCTCGTGTAAGTGGCTGATACTTCTGCACATTTTTTAATAACAGTTAAAATAAGTTAAAAATAGACAAGAACTAATAAGGAAAACTATTTTTCTAATAGTGTAATAACCACAAAAATTATCGAACTAGAAATAGCTTTTGAAGGAAATTGTAAATTTTGGAAAAATAAGAAGGGCAAAGAAAAACACCATATACATTTTAAGAGATGAAATTATATATACTTACATATGAAATTTTAAGTTTTTGTTGAACTTGAAGTGCCATCTAGGTTTGTAACTAGTTTTCATGCCCTGACCATTATGATTGATAATTATAAAAATTAACACCTTAAAACGAATGTATAAATAATGCGATGTCCTTACTGGAAATATTACGACTAATATAGACATTGGTATTTGTTTGCTCAATAATCGTACTGCATTATTTTTATTGACATTTTGAAAGCTTACAAGAACAAACACATGAATCTAAAACAATTAATAGATAAGTCTTTACAAACTCTTGCATATTTTGGGATTCGGTTATTCTTTTTTTGTATATATTGAAGAATAATACTAGATGTATAAATTCTTTATCTAAACTTTTCCATATAAACTAATGTATCACAAAATGAATGTATGAATTTGTATAAAAAATAAACTCGATCCAATAGAAATACATTGTATATGCTTTTTGCAGTTTGTTTCTTTCATAAAAAACCGTCATTGTCTTTGAATCAGAAAATTGTATTTTGGGGACAAAAATATAAAGTTTGGCAAATGAGAAGGGAAGGAAAACAGCCCATACATTTCAAGCGATGAAATTATATATGCTCTCTAGATAAAATTTTAAAATTTTGTAGGACTTGAAGTGTTACCTAGGCTTGCAAATAATTTTAGGTGCCCTTGACCATCATGATTGATGACTATAAAAACTAACATCGTGATGAATGAACGTATAAATGATGTGATATGCTTGTTGTAGTACCAAATTTAAGAAAAAAAGTAATTACATTACAACTATTATAAACATTTGTGTTTAATTAATGTTTGCTCAATAATATTGTAATGTATTATTTTGAACCACGTTTTGAAAGTTTACAAGAACAAACACATGAATTTTAAAGCAGTTAGGCAGATTCACATAGATAAGAGAAAATGGATGAAATAGACAAGCCCATACATTGCAAAACTCAACCTTTCATTGTTTTCCTTACAATAAAATCTTTAACAAAAAGGGGCATATGGTACAAGATCGCCGCGGTGATGAATACGAACCGGAGGAGAACCAAGCGAGGGGTTGGTTCATCACCGTCGCCACGGTGTCCTTGCAAATACTTCAGTAGGGTGGATTGATGTTTGATTAAACTTTGTCTCTGATAGCTTTGCAAATGGCTTGAAGAGATTCCATTCAGGCATTATGTTGTAGTTGGAAATGGTAGACTTTCCTATATTGGATGTTATGACCCGGCGGCAATGTTGTACAATCGATTCTGAAATGGCTTGGTTCCAATCTGCATTAGTCATCAAATTTGAAAATAATTTGATGAGAAAACTGATCAACTCGTGCACAAAGACCAAGATTACCGTTTCATCAATTGGGCTATGTATATTCATTCGACAAGGGATAAACTATGAAAGTAACATTTTTCATACAAACCTCAAGGTATCAGTGAGTGAATGAAGAGCACATCAGTTGCAGCATAAACACTGGACATGTGCAGGGTGGGCTGTGATAACACTTCCAACATTAGCAGTCTTCCTTTTCTCTAGATGCCATGCTGGGAACAACAACTTGAACCATCCTCATGGGACCCAATCAATTAAAACAAAGAACCAAAACGAAAAAGCTATTGTTGGAAAGTGGATTTAATTCAACCAAACAATTCTCAATTGATTATATATCAATTATGACCTTCAACAAATAAATATCTGTCTACCATGGATTCTTATTTTCACCATAAACTATATGTATGTATATATATAATTGGCATGCTGATAGTTTTTTTTTTTATTTTTTTTTAAGTCAAACCTCATTTATAGCGATTATCGCCATCTATATTAAAAAACCAAAAACTCAGTTAAAATTTTTGCTTAAGGTATATTAGTTGTTACAGTTGGATGTCCATAGATTTTTTCAAGCCACTACCATTTGGACGGTTCTTGCGCTTGCTACCATGTATGGTTGGCCCTTCATTCAACTTAATGTCAAGAATACTTTTTTTTTGAGGTTTTTTTGACAGAGAGAGTGTTTATGGGCAACCTCAGGGTTCAAGATCTATCGACCATACATGCATGTTACCTACTAAGGCCACTCTGGTCTTAAGCAGGCTCTTTGGGCGTGGTACCATGTCTCCACTCTTTTTCTGGATCATGGTTTTGTTAATATTCGGTCATAATCTTCCTTTTCCATCCATCGCTCCTCTTCCTTCGTGGTTATTCTGTGGTTTATGTGGATGATTTGTTCTCACTGGGGCGTCATCCTGGATATTGCTACTACTTTTTTCACTGACTTATGTTCCACCTTTGTCGGTCTTGATTTGGGTTCTCTTGGTTTTTTTTTTTGGGGTTTGGGGTTACTCGAGAACTATGCATGTTGTATCTCTCGTAATGTTGGTATATGGTTGATCCTATGCGTTTTCAGCTCGAGTCTTGTGCCCTGTGCTAATTATCCGTCAGAATCCATGCTTCTTACTGATGAGGAGCTTTTTCTAACGTACCTGTATAGGAGTATGGTTGGTGGTCTATATCTTTCTCACTTGGGTGATATTGTTTTGTTGTGAATAAGGTTGCTCAATGGTTGTCTACACCCACTCACCTGATTGCGTGCCTTAAAGGATTTAGGTACATCAAAGGTACAATCACGGTTGGTCTCACTTTCCATCATGCCTCGACCTTCATCTCTGGCATACTCATTTTGACTAGGCCACTAACATGTTACTTGGTGCTCTGTTACCGTTGGTTGTGTGTTTCTTGGTCGAAACCTCATCTATTGGACTACCAAGAAGCAATCTACTATGTCCCACTCTAGTGTTGAAATTGAGTATCATGCCTTTGCTCATGTTACCACTAATGTGCAGTGATTTTGCTTTCTTCTTCGGGAGCTTAGTCTACCTTAGACTTCTTCTCTGTTACTACTTTGTGACAATCAGTCTGCTCTCATATGGCCACAAATCTGGTCTTTCATGCTCGTACTCGACATATTGACATTAACCTCCACTTTATTCATGAGCTTATTGCCCATGGTGCTCTTTGTCTTCAACATGTTCCCACAGTTTCTCAGCTTGTTGATCATTTCACTAAGGGCCTTTCTGTGAGACTTTCAATCACTCTATTTCCAATTGTAGCTTCGTGATCTCCTGCTTCCATTGCGGGAGAGTATGGATAAATAATATTGTCTATAGGGTATTTTTGACTTTCTCTTAGTGATTAGCTTGTGTATGTGGTGATTAGTTTTGTGTATAGGCTGACATTTATCTGTTATCTTGTGACCTATTTAATCATCTCTTCATTGTAATTGATCATTGAAAATATGCAACATTGTACTACTTCTTGTCGACCACTCACCTTCCTCCAATATCAACGGTTCCCTTCTATGGACATGCACAACAAGCGAATGAGAAAGACAAAAAAGGTTGTATTCAACACCCAAGGTTTTAGTGCGGCGATGTTATGGTGGTTTGTAGGTTCTTTCTCTGTGGTTTACGAGCGAATGAGAGAGACGAGAGATGACTGGGATGATTGGGTTTTTAGGGGTGTTGTGGTATGGTATAACTAGGGTTTCAATGTCGGGTTGTTTGTAAGTTCTTTCTTGTTAGTTTATGAGTGAATAAAAGAGATGAGAGGATGGTGTGACTAATGTTTTACAACGGCGGTGGTATGGGGTTTGTGGTTTCTCTTCTCTATTGTTTTAACGAACGAGAGAGAGACCAAAGGCTGTTTTTGGGCTTCAATGCAACTACCAAACGTTCTTAAATCAAGTGGCAATAAGGTTCCTTTGGCACAAAGTTTCGCTCAAAAAGGGTCCATGACCCAAAGTCTCGTCAAGAGCATTGGATTGAAATTTTGAATCAAATTCTAGATGGTGCACTTGTGAACCTGACCCAACTACAATCCTCCTTTGGCAAAACTTGTAGTCTCTGACAAAGAATGCTCTAACCTAATGATGATTATGAAAACAATTCATAAAAGTTTAGTGATGAGGGGTTAATCATTCTACATCTGTTACAATTTTGGCCACCAATTGTAAATAGAAATGTTGAGAAGTGGAATAGCTTTGTATTTTCTTGTAGCTTGCATTTTTGTCGGTCTCTTCTTATTCCATGTTATTTTTAGATTCATGGGTACGAGAGATGAATGGGTTATGAGGGTACTACCACTGTTGCGACGCGATTCACATTGTGTGCCACTAGGCTCTACCTGCCAAACGAAGTGGTTGTTTGGGTCACTGTCGGGGTTTTAGTTCTAAGTGCACCAATAATTTTTGGGTATTTTATTAGAATTGTTTGTATGAATTAAAGACACATTATGTAAGAAGCAATTTTTTATATGCAACTAGAATTGTTCATACAGATTAAAGACATACATTCTGCAGAAAATTGAGAAATGTTTATTTAGATGTTTGATTTCCATGTATGATTTTTTGATGAAATTACTAAAGTTAATTTAAATGTTATCTTAAAAAAAAAAATTGTCACAGGTTGGGAGTTTCACACCTAAAAGGTAACCTATTAAGTGGAAGGACTCCCCCATTTATAGCCCAAGACCCTCTCAAAGTGCTTTCAATGTGATTGTGGGTA